ATTATACAAAACCTTTTCATCTAGCCCAAGAAATAGTCAAACATTGTTTAGGGGGAGAGGCTTTCCGACTATACCCTATAGTTAAGCGCACCTTATCTATAATATATACAGGTTATGGCACAATTTAATTTACCATTGATAATATTTTTAGGTATATTAATTGTCAGCAAAACTATATCGCGTTTACTGATTTACAGATCGTGCTGTACTCCATTATTGTCTGTAGTTATAAACGTATAATAGTACCACCAATGGTTAATGAAAATAATTAACTGTGACAAGTTAAGTTAATTTAATTAAATTGCCTTCAGTCGAGTTAAAAGTTAATTTTTTTGAAGGTACCTACAATATTTTTAAGTCATAAACTGCCATAGTATTTTGTAATACACAAATATTTACCAAGACGTATAACACTGTGTAAAAAATTAGATTATTATAATATATTATTCGAAAATAAATTACCAAAATCGTAAAAGAGTCGACGAATTAGTATTGTCTAGTTGATTACGCATGACTCGAAAATTAAGTTAACTTAACTGCACGACAATGATAATTAACTATAATAAGTTACATAAAAGTTATAACAATACAAATTTTAACTGAATAAGTCTAGAAGTTAAAAACAAAAAAAATTAACTAGTTAAGTAAAAACGTTAAAAAAAATTAATTTGCCCACCTTTGAGTACCATATACATACATAATAATATAACCTAACACAATTCGATGGGCGAAGGCACACGCTGCAGTATCGATCATTGCCTATAGGTAATACTTAACGATTTCGAGAAACTGTTACGTCGTTGTGTTACATACTTTTATATTTATTTATACGCTCAGCTCGTGTGTAATTTATGCCGAAACGAAAACGCGACACGTTGCGTCTTCCGTAATAATTTCTCCTTTCCCCGCCCAACTCTCGAGACGCTCACTCTGCGGCCGTGAATTCATATTGTTTTTATTTTTTTTCCTTTCCACACTCACACACATAACAATGATGCCTGATTATCATTAATGTTATTATTATTATTTTATTCTTGTACAGTAATTTACACGTTTTTTTCAATCGCATATCGACTACGATATGGCAACAGCTAATGTAAGATTGTAAAAATTAAATAAGTTTTGATACACATTTGATGTGGACGTGGACGCAATAGGGAGGGCTTGAGGGGGGGCTGGACCTACTAAAACTTAGTCTTCGTCAATGAAATATTAAGTAAATACAATAATTGTTTCTACAGTTTTAAAATTAAACTCAATAAAAATTATTTTTAATTTTTCTATTGTAACACAGGCGTACGAACGTATTTATCATAATATGCGAAGATCGAAGGTGATATAAACATGGACAAAAAGAATTGTTGTTTTTTCATACAAAAATATGTGGTATATGAGAATAATATATGACCGTCCATAATATAATGTTTTACCACATGAATTTCGAAAAATAACCTATACATGTTATGTAATTATGATACGCGGAAGTAGTTAGAAGACGTTTTTTGTTTTAAAAGTTTAAATTTCTTTTAGATATCGACAATAATTTGAGTGGAGAGTGGATGTTTCATCAAGAAACAATATTTTGTAGGTACGGTTAACGTTCATAATTTATTATTTCATGAAATAAACTAGATGCGTCAGATAAATGTACCTATTAAGAGTTGTGTTATTTCATGAACTTTCATCCTTTTAGCTGTATGTCCGGAAGGATAAACATATTAAAAAGTATTACATTTTATTAAAATATTTTGTTTATAATCAACAAGATCAACAGATGGTTTATACAAATGTCATACAATCCTAACCTAAGCGTGTGCACGCGCATGCATTTAAAAGAACATTTATGCACAATAAAACAATATAATATGGTAGCCGAACGGACTAAGGCTTCGGCTGCGACGCAGCCGACCCGAGTTCGATTTCTTGGTCATTGGTGGCATTTTTCTTTGGACAAGTCACGGTGTCCGGAGAACAAGTGCGCTATCCCCCACCCGGACATGGTAGATATCTACGGGTGCCCGGCTTTAAAGATCAATAAAAAAATAAAAATAATAATAATAATAATAATATATATATATATTAATATTTGTCTGTCTGTCCTTAATTAATAGACTCAAAAACTACTGGACCCCTTTCAATACAAGTAATATCCATAGATTCATTGAGACTTGGAGAGTGTTTATATTGTTTATTAGATAGGTATGTTTTCAACCCGTATATGTAACTATAGGGTAGCTTTGAGTTCTCACATAAATTTTGTTTCAGTATACGAAAATATATTTTTGTTTATTTAAATGGTTACCATATGGTTATATATTATATTATATTACTATTATAGTTATTAGAAATATGGTAAAATATATATATTTTTTACAAATATATTTATAAAAAAATGGGGTTAGCGGGTACCCGACGCTCTGCTGTAAAGCATCCATTACATTAAGTTTCTAGAGATTCATTGTAATGGATGTGTTAAATTTGAATTCAATGATATAATATCAATAATATCATTGTATACGAAAAACGTTTTTGAGCCAAGATGGTCTTATAATATAGCTTATAATATTAATAGCTATAGCTTATAAGTAGGTATATTTTATGATATCATTGGAATTAAAATAATTTAATAATTGTAGTAGGTTAAATTAACTTTTGTCTAAAAAATTACATTTGAAAATGTAATTGTGTGTATAAAATATATTAATATACGCAGGTACCTACTCCAAGAGTTTCAAGTACCCACATACAATATTTTTAAATTACAACAATATAACTAAAATCGTTATATTTTTTTTTAATAATATATGTAATTTTTTTCAATTTTGAACTAAAAAAACGTTGAAAATATAAACACAGTTTAAATATTTTTTAGATTTTTAGATTACATAACAACTACTTGCTTGGTATATATTTTCAATCCTTAGCTACAAAAATTTAACATTTTATAAATTTTTTACTATAAAATAATTTTTCAATTTTCAATTAATTAAAAAGCAAAAAAAAAAAATCTTGCTTATGTATTTTTATAAAATCGATATTGTAACAATGTGTGAGGGGCCTTGTATTTTCATTTTATTTAACCCAACAAATACAATAATATTGACATTTATAGAAAACAAAACTAAAAGTTTGAAGATTAAAAATGTTCACAAACAGATCAAAACGAATTAAAATATTTTGAAAATGTTATCAAGTAAAGAAAAATATAATATAAATAAATAGTGTAAATTTCAAATATTTACGGTTATTTGCTTTTGAATTACAACAAAATGAGAAAATCTCTCCATGAGAAATTTTATGAATATCCAATGTTGTAAAAATCGTGTCTACAAACACTCTTTATTGTAAAATCAATACATTCATCGCTCCACTCAGAATCTAAACACAAATCATTGGCACAGGCAAATCCGAGAGGGATAACTATAGTATTATATATTTATACACAGGTAAAAATATAAAATTTAATATGATAAGATAGTATATTGTTAGCCACTTTCAGGATCGAATGATTGTAACTATTATCGCCGGTAGACTACAGTAGATTTTCATTGTGCGTTACTTATAATATTCGTTATTGCAGTTTTCAATTTAATTTATAATTTTTAGTGCACGTGCGAAATTTTCAAATAAATAAATAAGCAAACGTGTTTTCCGTCTGTGTATGTACACTTATTAATTGTATACGTATACAATATATATGTTATCGTATCTAATAATCTCTATATATATAATAATATATATATATATTATATTATATATACAATATACCACAAGATAGATTATTAGTTTTTTTTATATAGTAACAACGTTATGGCGCCGTTTCAAGAAAATTTAAACCCGGGAATTGATAAATTAACAATATAATATTCCAATGTTATTAATGTATTAAATGGCTAACATGGATAACAATAAATATAATATTATTATAGTGGCGATTGTGGTCCATAAGTTTTCCAGTATAGTTGGTGACGAAACAACGCTGCACAACAATGGCTTTACTCTATTTATTGTTTTCGAAATATTATTATTACCTATACCTACGTCTGTCTCAAAAGCGACAATGTCACCAATAAGTATTTTCCGATCAGCCGTTCTAATGTGTCTTTTTGTCATGATTTATTTTTTTTTAATTGGTGAAAGTGAATTTTCGGAAGTCCGTTCCGTCAATCATAAACCAAGGTCAAAGTTTTTCGGCTGGACCTTTTTTTATTTTTATTTGTTTATAGGAGCACAACAAATTACCAACGAAACAATCCCCAAGCTACCACACTGCAAATGGAAATATTCACATTGTTACTCTTATAGAAATGAGTGTACCCATATTAAATTAAAAAAAGTATCATATTATTATAATAATATATTAACTTAATATAAGATGGAAATTAAACCAGTGACAAAAGGTCATAAGTCATAACTATACCTGTTTGTAATAACGTTCATATGAATTAAAAATATGGTTTATATTGCTTATACCTACCTTTGTAATTCGTTTTGGAAAATCCCAAACTATAGGTATAGTTTGCCAGAGCACATAGTATTATTAATTATTTTTATGTATTATGTAATATGTACAACTAGCAGGGCGGCTATAAGCCTTTAGACATTTCGTATTTTCGCCACCTAGTGCGATATAATAATAATATGTGTCCATATCTATGGTTATAATTCAACTATCCTAACTATCAACTTAAAATTAACTTCCGGCGCCGACGCATCGCTAAAGCACATGCAATTATAGAAACGCAATAGAAACACTAAACAGCATAATTTTTAAGTCTTTGGACGTAAATGACAAAATAAATGTCGTCGTCTTTGTAAAGTAATTCTCACCACAATATGATGTAAAAGAATTCAGCGAATTGAATAAATCTTTGAGTTCAAACTCGACAGCTTATAAAAAAACGAATACAGTTTAAACCGCAGACGCTGTTACTATAAAAAAAAGTTCGGAATCTACTCGTGTGTACTCGTAATATATTATACTAGAGAACCACGGTGAAATGCATGTATACAACCAAAATCGATTTTCAGATATTATTAGAAATTTAAATCCAAGACTCGCCAATTTGAACACTGTCCGGGCCGATCTCAAAACTAATTCGAGACCTACGGTGCAGGCCTTCCCTCGAGTATTCCACGTGACCGGTTTGATGTTATTTGTTGAAAAAAAAAAGTTCGCCTGTGTACGACATCGCCACCGGCCATATGATTCCACTTCGTTCGTTACCAAAATCGTAGTGATCGAACGACTTTCAGATTTTCGAACGTTTAGAACCGGCCGTATGCGCACGGTGGCCCAATGACCACTGTATAAATATAGTATAGGTAGTAGGTACCTAATCCTGCAGCATGTACCTACATACCATAGGCGCCAGCTACTGCATGCGCGTCTGTGGACGAAAAATGGCGTTATGGCCATAGAAAACCGGTTGAATAGGAAGTCATTGGGCTGTTGTTGTCAGATTCAATAAAAAGAAAAATATATATTTAATTCAGACGAGTATATTATATTATGGCCAATAGCGATAGGTGCGTACGCGGTGGTAATTCGCGTGCCGTGTATATTACAGTATAATGTATATATATATATATATATATTATATATGGACGAGTGGAGAAAAACTTTCGTATTAACGCTTTATATGTATTAATATAATATTATTATGCAGGTCGGAATCAACTATTCAAAACAGTATAGTATAGGGACTATAATGCATCATGTATTTGGTCATGATATAATAGTATAATAAACACGTGGAGCAGTTAGCCGGTGAGATTTTCAAATCACCCCCCCCCCCCCCCCGCCGCCAAAAAACAAGTGTTTATCCGATGCTTGAAAAAGAACTAAATAATGCATCGTAAGAAACAAACGCGAGTTATTTAGTCCTTGCTAGACATATGACATTACTATTAATAATGACTAATGTAATCCACTTAGTTAGTAGGTACCTAGTAGTTGTCTGAATATTATGATCGTTTACCGGAATTACTTTCGTGAACCCAATCACATTCACAGACTTTCAAAAAATTCTCATTAAAAAATAAATCGCTTATAATTTAACTGAAACAAAGTATCATACCCTCATTAGTTATTACCCTCAAACCTGCTCCGTAGACGTCATGACATGATGATATATTTTTAAATGATACAATATACCTAAAACTACCATTGATTGTAATTATATAGTTCATAAGCAATGCTACTACCTGAATATTTGATGGCTTTAAACAGTATAGTATAGTATTAAATATATTATTGTTATAATTTCATTATTATGATCTATGCACATTAAAGTATGTTCATAATAATTAAGTGTGGAAAATTTAAAAACCCGTTCAAAGTTTTCTGATTTATTTGTGCTTTCAATCTTTAGTACACATTTGTACATTTAAACAAAAGGATTTCATTTTTCTGATAGCTTTTAATAAACATTTTATTAGCGGCTACCCTTGTACAGTAATAGGGTTTTCATTAATTTTTCACTCAATTTTTGTTAGAACTCTCTTAAATGACTTTCTTTTAAACTATTCAACTTGTAACCGTGAAAAATCTTCATTAAACGTTTTGGTATATTTCACGTCTGAACTCTGAAGAACAATTTTTGGTGTAATCATAGAACATAATAGAAGTGACAGTTATCATAATACCATTGTTCACTGAAAAATATTTCAGTTGACCGTGAATCCACTGTTATCACTTTTTTCTGTGAGAGTCGAGATAATGATAACTGTAAAAATTAAACCATTTTTCATTTAAGTAAGTATAAATAACTTAGATTTAATTGATTTATACAAACTTACTAATCACTACCAAATAACGTAGGTTTAGACATAGTGTATTAGTGTATACTTAAAAACGGCTTATAAGTAATACTTTAGGATAATATGTTTATTGAAATAACACATAGAAAGAAAGATAACAACATGATGCCGAGCCTTCAGAATAATGCAAACAAATCGATCAGTTGTTTGACTGTCACTTCTATTACCTTTGTTTAAGTATGGTGTAATTAAATATTTTAATAAATAAAAAATTATTTTTTAAAAACACACTTTTCTAAAAAACAAAAAAATAATGAAAAATTTAAAAGTGTGTGGTATAATATGTCAAGTTTAAGAGCGCCACACACTTTTAAATTTTTCATTATTTTTTTGTTTTTTTAGAAAAGTGTGTTTTTAAAAAATAATTTTTTAATTTTTTATTTTCTACTTTTTAGTTAAAAAAAATTTTTTTACGGATTATTGTATTGTCATCCAAGACCAAGGTCTATACAAATTTTCAGAATTTTTCATCTTCAAAAAGTGCCTCAAATCGAGCGCTCAAGATTTGATCACAGACAGACGTGTAACCAAACTTAAGAAAAGTGTTAAAAAAGTAATCATTAATATTGTTGCATTACACTTTTACAGATTAACAAAAAAAAGTGTCTCAAACTTGATTTGTTTTTTTATATTTATACATTATACCTGATTGTATATTTTAACTCCTGAAAAAAAAAGTGTTGTAATCGCACTGTAAATATAATTTATACAAATGAAACGATTGATTTAAATAAAAAAAAATTACAACTACGCACCTGCATAGCAAGTATAGTATAGTTTAGGTTGTACTTAAAATAGTTATTAGTTATCAGTTACATGATTTTTTTTTATTGGAATAAGCGAATTAGATAACCTAACCTAACCAGTGTAACTTATTATAATGTCATTCGATAGCACATAAAAACCAATAAGACCCACACGGTATTTCTCTAGCCTTAGAACGGCTGCGGAATACCCATAATTTATTTTTTTTCGTCCGCACATGCCAATTATTAATCCGGAACTACTTTTCCCCACCGTAACATTATTATATTATGTCCAAACAAGATTCTCCGAATGACGTGCATTTTCGTTATGTAAACGGCGTAAGCACGCGGAATACAGTCCGTGCAGTATCTACACGAAATACTTGTTTGCCGGTTTATATTATCGGTACTTGCCTACGACTTTCTTTCGAGCAATATAATATTTTTTTTCTTCAACATATACATTTTATTTTGACGGTTACACTTTGAATATGCAATGCAAAACATCGGACCACGCGATAGTAGGTACGCCGCATCGATTTAATCTCGTTATCTATTACGGCTGAAGAACAGTCATCGTTTTTATCTTGGCGTATTTTGAATTTCACTATAATAATAGGTAGGTAATAATAATACCAATATATAATGTCTATGTATACCTACATCCACAGAGAATCTGTTCAAAACAACATTACGGTGGTGGGCATTCAGGACGAAAGTAAAATTTATGTAACAACGCGCGAATAATTAGGCGGAATTTCAGAAGACAATTTTCGTGAATCATGAGTATAGGCAATACACGATTTACGTTGCGTGGATGCAAGACATTCAAAATAGGTCACTAATATATTTATATTTTATAAATAAACGAATATCGGGTAAGGAGACAAAGAGACGTAAAGTGTATGAATGTGTTAATGCGAAAAAAATCGATATGAGGTCCTAGCAGTAAGTGTCTATAAATAAAAACCTACGCAAGTTATATTTTACTTTATAATTTAATTAAAACCATCTTTGAATGCAATAACCATAAAATACGAATAAATGAATGGGTATTAGGACATTACTGTAGGTAATGTACCTATATACTTACTATTTTTAATGATAGTATTAAGAAATATTTTTTGATTCTCACAATTTCGGTAGAACGTAATTGTTTCTAACCTACTTGGCACCTGTGCAAGTTTTGGCAATATATGTAAAATCAAAATAAAATTACATAATGTACGTAAATAATGTACGATAAATATTACGACGAATTAAGATCATAAAATAAATTATTATTTATCCATCGTATCCATCTGTACAATTATACACTTTTTAAACATTACCTTAATTATATCATATTGTAATAATAACATTTAAACAAAATAAATAAATAAATAAACTTGGTATGCATAGTTGGTATACGCATATATTATTTCGTGTTTGGCACAGTTCGAATAATAAACAGAAAAATAACTTATTCTGTACAGCTGCGGGCAGTCATATAATATAATATGATAATTGTATTATTACTGTTATTATGTTATATAGCTCTTATTGGTACCTACGTAAGTATGATGTGGCCATAGTTCAACTATAAATGCCCTGAACTGGGAAGGGGCTTATGATATATATATATTTTAGATTCTGAGTGGAGAGATGGTTTTACAATGATATGTTATTTAAGTAAAAAAGATTGAAATTTGAGAGTGGTCTCTGGTAGAAAATAGGATCAAGTTGGTATCTATTGAGAGGCTAAATTAAAATGTTTTTAATAATAATCGGAAAATACTAAAAAGAAAATTACTGAAATACGAAAAGATTAACCCTACATAATTCAATTTTCAACAGAATCAATTTTATGTTGTTGATGTAATTTGGTATCAAATAATCGTGGAGATATGATATTAAATAAAACAATTATTATTAATATTGGCATTTTAAGTTAATAGTAGCATTTGACATTTCTAATTTTGTTTCCTTTTTAGATTCTGAGTGGAACGATGAATGTATTGATTTTACAATGATGTGTGTTTATTTATTTATTTTTAGATTCTGAGTGAAACGATGAATGTATTGATTTTACAATGATGTGTGTTTTTTTATTTTTTTATTTTTTATTTTTTTATTTTTTTATTTTTTTATTTTTTTATTTTTTTTGTATCTGTGTACACGATAAGTAGTCGAAATAATGCTTCGATTTTCGACTTCAGTATCTTGTTCGATTGGAAAGTGAATATCGTTGGTGCATTGGGGAGGTCAAAATTTAAATTTCCCAGTAGTTTTCACACGCGCCGGGAAAAACAACATAAAAATTAAGGAAAAACGGGAATTTTTACGCAAAATTGATTTTCCAAAAAATCGATTTTGGTTATTGGTGTAACTTTAAAACAAATGAACGTATATACATGAAATTTTCACTGGTTGTTTATATTTGCATTTTCTATACACGATAACATTTTCAAAATATTTTGATTTATTTTGAACTGTTTAGGGACATTTTCATTTTTCGTTTTTTTTTAGTTTTTTTTCTAGAAATATCAATAAAATTTTATTTGTTGGTTGCGAAAGCTTGAAAATTTAATAGAAGGCTCCTAATATATTGTTTCAAAGGCAGATGAAAAATATTAAAAATCCTTAGTCACAATTTTTTTTTATAATCATTTAAAGTTCAAAAATTGACAAAATATGGAAAAATCACGAAAATTAGCAAATTATTTTGAGTTAAGAATTCGTAAAAATTTTTCTTT